TCCTTCCCCCCTCTTCCCTTCTTCTCCGTTCCCTTTTCCCGCTCCTCCCGTCATCCTCCCTTCCACTCCCCACCCTCCCTGTCCCCCTGCCTTCCTCTCCTCCTCTCCCCTTCCGTGCCTCCCCCCCTTTCCTCCGGTGGCTCGACTGCTGCTTGCAGGACTCGGTTGTGACGAATCCGGATGTGACACTGGTAACGTTTCTGAACTCTCCAGTAAGGATTTGTACTTTTGTAAGACGATATCTTTCAATGAACCGTCCTAAAAACAACTTCTGGTCTGAAGGTTTATGACGTCAAATGGAGGGGATAATAAAATAAAGACGTGGAAGACTTGTACAGCACTACATAGGATGTGGGACTTGTACAGGACTAGGATGCGGTACTTCTTTCCGGTAGGAAACATCGTCTTTTGTTGTGTATTTTTCCCCGTGCTTTGCCTCAGCCCTCTTTATGCGTGAGAGCCGTTTTGTTAGCTGGCCGTGAAAAAAAAATATAAAATAGATTTGATTATTAAGGGGTGTGAGGGTTGTGCCACGAAGGGCAGTCTCGACACTTGCACTTGCCGAATGTATCGGACGACAATCACGGCCGGATGCTGGGGTGGTTATGGAACTGCGATGTGCTTTTCAATGGTGTCCACATGTTGGAGTGTTTATCAGACTCGAATGTGCCTGCTGTACAAACCCGATCTCGGGGGTACCATCTGACTATTACAAGAGGAGGGTACCACTGACTATTATTACAAGAGGGGTACCATCTGACTATTATTACAAGAGGGGTACCATTTTAGGAACCAAGAGTTCAGGATATTTGGTTCTGAAGGCTGGACATTTTTTGCGTTAGTTCTAGGGGTGTGTACTGTCTCAGCTGGCATTGTATTGGACTCTGTATATAACGCCGATGTGCGGTACAAGCCCCTGGGTACCATTTGACTGTTTGAAGAAGGGTAGTTTAGGCTATTGTGTTTCTGAGGGGCACGTTATTTGCTTTCCTTCCCAGGGGTGTATTATTTGATTTCGTCCCGAGGGGCATGTTATGACTGTATAGTGTGTGTATATATAGCACTTGCATGGCTGCCTGGGGTGTGCTGCGTGCTGGGTTGGCAATGGGTGTAAAGCGGAGGAGAGATCAGGGCGCAATCATAGCTGTTTGTGTGTAGCTGGTTGTTCATAGATGCTTGTTGCTGTTGATACGCATGCTCCACTCCATCATCTGGCTCCTCGTTTGTTGTAGTATCTTGCTCTGGGCCCTCTAGCGCCCGGGTGTACATAGTTTTCAAGTCTTTTCATGAAGGTATCAGGGGTGTATGTGGAGAAACGAGTTTTGAGAGTTCCAGTGGAGTTTCGTGTGATTACATGATTTGATGCTATCAAGAGTCTGTGGGTACCATTTGGACTGGATGCAGCAAGATTCTATGTTTTTGTCTGTTTTATTCAAAGTGTTGTTAGTGCTTTTCCCCTTTTGTATTCCCTATAGCTGTAATTGTTTTGACTTGGACCCTTAATTTCTTCCTGGGCTTCTATAGATGATGAGCAACAACTCGAGGAGAAACTGAGGCAATAACAAGATCACCTGCCTGCTGTGCGCATGGGGGTGGTAACTGTTGGTGATGATAGATGACGTGCTCAAGCCTTACTTGGGATTCTGAGCTCCCTGTCTTTCAATGTACTCTACCCGGTTGTCAATCAATTGTTTATGAAATCAGCGGAAAGAAATCAAAAGCCCTCGAACTCCCTCCTTTTCCTAATTGCCCCTTTTCCTAATCTATCTGCTCAATTGTGCGGCTTCTTGGGATGGGCGGGGCACTGCGTGCGGTTTTCATAGCAAGAAGTCGTTGACTCCATCATTGCAGGGCCAGATTTGCAGAACGGGATCTTGCCAGATTTCATTGTCACCGAAGATTTCAACGGCGCTAATGCTGGTACACAGTTCCTTGCTCTTGTCCAATATTTCCGCCTTGTTTGAATATCCATCCATTGATTTTGTTCTTGATCGTCCATGGGCCATCAAGGGCCTTCTTGTGGTCTTCTGTGCAGTCATAGTATTTGGTGTTAATTTGCTACAGCCTTGCTCCTGTGGCGAACTGCCTTGTGTTTGTGGTTAGGTGGCACGTAGGCAGGCTAGTAGGAGGGGTAGGATAGAGACGAGGAAGGAGCAGGAGAAGGAATATGATGAACGAGGAGGAGAAGATGTTGGACGAGGAGGCGGCAGATGAGGTGTATGAAGAGAATGGTGGCGGGAGAGAAGAAGAAGACCAAGGGAGGGGAGGAAGATATGAGAGATCTCACATAAGAATATCATTTTGTGGATCACATGGACAGATCAATCTTCATGTCCGTTTTTGTCTATATTGTTAACATGCAGCTCAAGAGGAGGGAGGAG